CATCCATGCTTTTGTTCCGGCCCTCCGGTCCAGTTTAAGAACCCATTGTGGCCCTCGAGTCAAAAAGTTTGCCCACCCCTGTCCTAGACTGTGGCTTCAACCTTCGATCCGCCGCAGCCCCCGGCCCATGGTGGCAGTTTCACCTCACGGGCTGGCCATTTACTCCAGATGTGGCCTATGGGAAACTCCAACCCCCCCAAGCCTCAGGTTCCCAATCTGCCAGTTTCTGCCTCTCATAAAACTGTTGAATTCGGTTTACCCAGTAAAGCTCTGGAGTCACGGAGGAGTTGTTGACAATCTGCTGAGAGACCGAGTGAGGCTCCGCACGCTGGGAAACTGGCAAACGTCCCCCCACAGGAGAGGTGCTGTTGCGAATGTCATTTGGAACCGCACTGCGCACTTCCCAGCCTTCATAAACCCAGCGTGGGGACCACACTCAACTGTGCTCTGCAGATGGAGACCGGCGGGCCTCAGGCCATGCGCTTGGATGCCTGCGATGATTTCCAGCTGTGTTCTGCAGGTCCGAGAGCAGGACCGGGTCAGGCTGATGCCTCTGCAAGGCCTGGAACTTCTGGACTTGGGGCTGTTCAGCCCCCATAGGACCTTGCGGTCTGGTCATTTCCTTACCATTTGAAAACTTAGAGCACAAAACTATCTGGCTAATGACTGTCCCCAACAAAGACAGGATCACTGTAACTGTCCTCACGGTCAAAGAATGAATGCCGAACGTGTGGAGGAAGGTGCTGCAGGCCTGGAAGGACGTCTTCCCTTTGACTGTGGCTCCCGAGAAGAGGTGGCCTCGCAGAACTCTCCTCCCACCGGACCCTGGCAGAGGGGCCAAAGAAAGAGGCCTACCTACAGCTTCAAAAGTAGATAATGCCAGAAAGAGCACCTTTTATTGCAAAGGATAAAATACCTCAAAACACCTGACTTTAAAAAACAACCCTGACTTTTAAACAATTATGCAAAGGCTGAGAGGATATGAAAAGTAGAAAATCTCACTTGTATTTGAGATGCTCTGGTCAGAATAAGGAGAGTCAAGGGCTATAGGATAGCGAGGTGGACAGGATGCTTACATGACTGGGGGCATCAAACAGCAGCCGCCTGCAGCAGCCCGGATGGTGAATGCAGAGCTGCCCTGCAGCCCTGGCCGGCGTGGCTCAGTGGGCTGAACATCATCCCCTGCACCAGAAGGTCGCTGGTTCGACTCCCGGTCAGGGCACATGCCCAGGTTGCCGGCTTGATCTCCAGTCGGGGGCCTGCAGGAGGCAGCCGAGCAGTGTTTCTCACATCAGTGTTTCTCAAATCAATAAAAACATATGTATATTTTTAAAGAGCTGCCCTGCAGGGCAGGCAGAGTTTCAAGAAGCCACCAGGGCTGCTGAGGGACCAGAGGAGCAGCAGCAGGGAGCCAGGGCCACCCTGAGAACTGGAGGCACGTGGAGCAGGTGTGGTCACCCACGTCGGTGGAAGCTGCGGGCATCAGGGAACCCGCAGACTGAGCCACAGCCTGAAACTGCACAGAGCAGGGAGTGACAGCCGAGAAATGCCCCACCTCCCCTGCTCCCATCAGTGGACCCCAATCACAGCGGTCACCGAGAGGACAGCGCAGAAAATGGGTCTGAGGACAGAAAATGAGCAGTGTAGGTCCTTTCCATGCAGAAGTAACTTCCGTTTCCTATAAAATGGAGACCATCATGGTGCTGTCAGCCTGCTATAAGTCAAGAGAGATTATGTGCAACTCTAGCCAGTGTTTCTCAGTGGGCAGAGCATTGGCCTACACCGAAGGTTTGCAGGTTCACGCATGTGGGAGGCAACCAATCAATCTGTCTCTCTCAAATTGATTTTTCTCTCTCCCTCTCTCTCCCCCTCTCTCTAAAATTCAATGGAAAAAAAGGATATCCTCAGGTGAGGATTAACAAAAAAAAAGAGATATTATGCAAACTGATGACAAGAGAACAAGTTTAGTTTAGGAATCAACAGGAGCCGCCTCTTTATTCTCAGTTAACACACTTCTCGGTTTGCTGAAAATGGGCAGTTTGGACTTCGCGGCACATCACAGGCATCTGGGTACACTCATTCTCTGTGTCACCCTGACCCACACCCACCCTCCTGTTTCAGAAACTGCTCTCGGCCCGAATGCCACCGTATTTCACTTCCTGGAGCAGCTTCCAGCCATTCACTTTGGCTGTTTCTTGGCACACAGGGAGCCACGCTCTGGAGAAAACAAGGAAGTCCAAATAATGGGAGAGTTGAGATTCCCGTCGGGTGAGACCGTTTATTGAAAGGCAATCTTGCTTGATCCAGGAGTTCTTACATGAGGGCAGCTGCATAAGAATGTCTCTTCCCCATGACACACCTAAGCAATCAAACCAAACGAATGCAGAAACCCAATGGAATGAGCCTACTGGCGTTGTCGAATGACTCTCAGAAGCAGGAAAGCAATTATAAAGATACAGGATGATTGTCTCCTCGGCATTGCATTTGGCCACAAATTTGTTTATTAAATAAAATGTTTTGTTTTTAAGCTAGCTAAAGAAAATATTCTTGAGTAGGGTTAGTCCTTAAAGCAACAAAAATCATGTGTATATAATAAAATCAAAGTATGAGAGCATGCCAGAGCTGGAAAGGTCTGGGCCCTGGTCCTCATTTATTCTGGGAATCTGGGGCTCTGTGGGCGTGTGCCCCGTCGGGATCACCAGGGCAAGATAAACTGGGACTTGGAAACACCCCTTTCAACGTCCAGGCCAGTACTCTGCCCACCTCAATCTCCCCGCACGCACCCAGCTCACTGCCGGCTCCAACACCGTGAAGGGCACAGGTAGCATGTAAAACAGCCCATTTTTAGATAAGGATGCAAGTCTTCTGAATGGTGAGCTCTGGTCTCCATTCTCGCACCAGCCCAGGGGAACCAGAAGGAAGTGGCGAAAGTGAGGGGCAGGGACTTCCTCACCAACCAAGACTGACACTCACTGGCTCCCACAGCTCCCGGGCCTCAGAGCTTTCTCACCTCCCAGCCTCAGTTACCGGTGGGCTGAGGCATTACCAGGCAGGCCTCCTGGCAAATACCTCAACATGGTGGAAGCAGCGGGGGAATCAGGAACATGCCGAGGGTGGAAGGAACCCTGGAGTTCCAGCGGGACAGTCGACCAACTGCAGGCTTGTTGCATCCCCGTGAGGACAGCGGGATCCAGGCTGGGTACGGAGGGCTCGGCCTCTGTGCCCGTTTGTATGACTGTTGTCTATCACCCCCTTTCCCCTGACTGTGCTCCAGGAAGAGTGGAATTTTGATCCATTTTACTTACTGTTTTATTCCCAGTGCCAAGAACCATGCTTGACACATCACAGACGCCCAATAACTATCTGTAAATGAATCAGTTGCTAAAGGGAGGAATTTCTCCACACCCCAAACCAGAGGTGAGGAAGGCTTGGCGCTCCTGCTCCAGGGGCCTCACGTGTGTGTGTGTGTGTGTGTGTGTGTGTGTGTGTGTGTGTGTGGCACTAACGCATGCCCTTACACCAGGCTGCTCCCCCCTGGCAGCCGTCACGGAGCTCGGCCTCTGCTGAGCAGATGAACACTGCCATCTCTGCCCCACCCATGGCCACGGCTCGCAGGGTTCTCTCCGACTCGCAGGGTTCTCTCCCTGGCCCTCACTGATGGGAGCCCAGCTGTGATGGGCCTGGCCTCTGGGTGTGCCTGGGGACTGTCACAGTGGGAGGAGACACCAGGAAGGCCAGGAGGAAGTGATGGACACCCTGCATCCTCCCATTGCCCAGACGGCACCCAACTGCAGTCCGCAGTCACTCCGTGCCTGGTGCTGGCCGATGTCCCTCTGCCCCCAGGAAGTTGGAAAGAACCTTTCCATTTGCACAGACACACCTCTATCTGATTTCAGCTTCTTTCCTCCCTTTCCTGACATAAACCTGAGATCTTGCTCAATCCACCTCCTGTCTACATATCCCCCAGCTTTCAAGGACTTCCTCCTCCCCCCCCCCAAACCCGCACACACCTGCTTATCTCTCCTCCCTTCTCCCTTTCCTTGTGACCTCACTGGATACCTCCTGCCTCTTCCTCGCCCCTAAGTCCATGAGCCTTGACCCCATATCCTCCTCTTCCCCATCCAGCAACCACCCTGCCCAAGGACGGGAGAGCCCAGGTCAGAGGCCCGCTGTCGGAGGGAGGAGAGGACCAATAAGAAATGACAGGACGGCCCCAAGTTCCGGAAACCACATCACCCGTCAAAAGCCCTACTTGCAAGTTTCCCAAGAAGTCGCAAGTGGTGCCTGGGCACTGTTCTCAGCACGGTTCAGAAATTACAAGATTCCAGATAAAATGAACCACCAAGGCCATGGATACAAGTGGCCCTCTGCCTCTCTCCTCCGTCAGCAAGCTGTGCTCCGAGACCACCTGAGCTTCTCTCCTCGGGGTTCACTGTCCCTTAACGCCAGGCCGATTCTTTTTCTCCAGCTCTAATCTCCACGTGGTCTTTGTTCTACCTTCTCTCTCTTGCCTCTGCTCCTCAATATTTAAAACCTAGTAACTTCACATTTAAAAAGTAATACTCAATACAGACGTGTGAACCTGACAGACAGGCCCCCAGGAAGCCTCTGTCACAGTCCGAAACGGAACAGCAGTGGCCATGAGAAGTTCTTTAAAATATGTACAGCCTGCGCACCACTTCCCATGTGCACAGCGGCTGTTAAACAGTGACGAGCATTTGGACCCTTCCTCCTGGCGGGGGAGGGCAGGGGGCAGGAGCAGCAATGCAGACAGAGGAGCAGAGAGGACTTGGGCTGACGAATTATATTTCCAAAGCACCCAGCGGGCGGTGGCTGCCGGGCCTCGGGCGGCTCAGCCTTTACCCTGCAATCGCTCCGTAAGACCGGAGAGCCATGTTCGCTCACACCCCTAGGTGAGCGAGCGGAGCACGGAGGAATCGCAGGTTATGGGAAGAGGCAGCGAAGGTCTCGGCGCCACCAGAGGACGGGCGAAGGTCCCCTGCCTCCTGCTGCGGCGGCTGAGGGTCCCTGGGAGGAAGGACGGCCACTTGAGCCCCCTCCACAGGCCCGGAGAGGGCTCAGAGCTGGCTGACGGCATCCTTGGGGAAGGTGTAGCTCAGCGGCGCCTCGTAGAGGCTCCCCCCGTCGGTGCTGAGGTCGTCGTCGTCGTCCATGTCGTCCAGCACTTTGCTGGGCAGCTTCTTCAGTCTGCGGGGACAGCGGTCATGAGTCCCGGCCCTGGGCTGGGCCCACCCTGATCTGGAGATGGAGGCAGGGGCTGGGTTCCTGCCTCTCACCCCACTGAGTGGCAGGGAGCATGTGAATTTACCTTGACCATCAGGGAGCCAAGGCCCAGCTCTCAGCATGGAAGCCGCTGGCTGGGTGGGCTGGGCTGGGCAGGGCGGGGCTGGGACAAGGTCAGTGGTACTGTTTCCCTTTCATTTCAAGCTCCAATATGGCTCATCAGGTGCCGTTATTGATCCCACCTTAATTTAAATTTTTGATATCTTGTCCATCGAAGGGTTTTTTTGCATTTTTTAAAATATTGCATTTAATATTCTCTCTCTTGATTACTGAGACTTTTGGTGCCCCCTCAAATGCTGTGCCGTAATGCCGGCCCTGGGGCCGAGTTCTCGATGGACAAGCCCTGTTGATAGGATTCTCCAGGGGCTGGAATCTTCCGCCCATGATCAAAGAACTACCTGTGCCACCAGCACAGTCAGCCTCCGAGAAAGGCTCCACTCCATGGAGGGGCGTGAACCCAACCCACCCCCAACCCCAATGCCCAAGGCAGTGACCCTGCAGGAAAAGCAACCCCCCACCCAGTCCCCTTCAGACCACAGAAGTGGGGCTGCAGAAGCAATTCTCTCCTGCAACCAGGGATATCCTAGTCCTCATGAGGATGCACACCAAAACTTTACCTTATTTCTCCCAAAGTTACGTATAAATAGGAGAGCTAAGGGCTGATCGAGGAGCTGCCCCCTCTGTGGCGGTGGGAGCTAGTGTTACCTGCTCTGAGCCTCAGTTTCCCCGTATGGACAACAGGGACAGTATCTGCCTGACTGGCACTGGGGCATTGGTCTGGGGATGACACATGTGACACATGTGAGATCCTACTGAGCACGTGGGGAGACTGAAGTGGGCAGACACTCTTGCCTGTAGGATGGGATGACCCCCAAAAGGCGACAAGAAACTGGCTTGAAGCAATTGGAGTGAGGGTGCCCTAAAAGCACTGAGCTCTCTTCAAATGTCCCTGTGGGGTCACCGCACTTGCCCACCTTATGTTCTTCTTCAAATTGTTGACCTGCCCCTGCAGCTGCTCATTGACATCCATCTGCTCCTCCAGCTCCCTCTGCAGCTTCTTCTTAGAGCTTTCAAGCCTGTCGATTTCCTCCTCGGCCTCCTCTACCTGGCGCTTCATTGCTTTCAAGCGCAAGCTCAGCTGTGTAGGGAGAGAGGGCAGGTTAGTGCTGCTGCTCACCAGCCCGGCTGGATGGAGAAGAGCCCAGCGTGGACAGGCCAGTGGTCCAGCCACCTCTCTAGGCAACCATGATTTCCGGGGGAGGGGCGGGGGGGGTGAGGAGATCGGGGGAGGGGGGGGTCTAACCAGTCTCATGGGAAAGTGGAGATAAGCCTCTGTGACAGACCAATCCGCTTTCTACAAGTCAAGCTCAGGGTTTGAAGTTGGCTGAGACCTTCACTAAAGGTCAGAGAGGCCCTATTCAATGGGGGACGGGGTGGAGTGGAAAGACAGGGATCGGTCCACCATAGTTCCCTCGCCCCCCACAGAGGCCTCGCTGCCCTCTTGCTTCCCAGCCTGGGACATACAGATTCATCTGAATGAACTTGCAGAGGGTCCCTCACCTGGTCCTTCTGATCAGTCAGCGACAGGTGCTCATCGTCCACCTGCATCACCAGCTCCTTCACCTTCCGCTCCAGCCGGCGGTTGCTGAGCTGGAGGCTGTTCCGGTCCCTGGAAGGATGGAGGAAGCAAAACCGAGGGCTCTCTCAGCCCAGCCCCACAGGAGGCCCGGCCCAGGCTGTGCAGGAGGGCGAGCCGCACCCAGAGATGCCTGGTCCACTCAGGGCTGAAGGTCAGAGAGACACTCGACTACAGGAGGAAAAGGCTGGTCATCGGACCGATGAGGCAACAGGGCCTTTAAGAAGGGGAGTGACCTGCCCCCGGCTGCAGAGGCAGCGAGGGGCTGAGCTGGGACTAGACCTGCCCTGGCTTCTTCCTGTCCTGAGCTTCACTTTGTAAGACAGAGTCACTGCCAGGCGACGACTATAGGCTGCTCCAGCCCAGCCTCCGGAAGTCCTACTGCTAATAGAGAATGTGAAATGTCATACCCACACCCCTCCCAGAAGGAGAGGGGCCACAAGTAAGAACTGAGGCTGGTCAAGTTCAACCTGGTGCTGGTCCTCGGGCTGCAACGGGGAAACTAGCTGCAAAGAATCATGGTATTGGAAAGGTGTGTGGTCGCCTGATCCCATGTTCCTCCCACCCACTGTGGGGCGACCTGCCAGCTCTGACAGATGGCCGCTCGGCCTCTGCTAAGCGGAGTGAATACACTGGCCCTCAGGGCAGAGCCAGCCCCCTTGCCTCTAATCTGGCTCAAACTCGTACGAGGCAGCCTGTCCCACGGAGGGGAGGGGAATAAGCAGCAAGCAACAGTGAAATGCTATGGACGAAGAGCAGGAGTCCTGGGTTTTAGACCAATATTCAGCCAGGCTACCTTTCCTAAGTACTTCCTTGGATGGGTCTGTTTCTCATCTGTCAAGTGGGAATAATAACAGCAAGGCTGTACTTGCTCTGCCCTCCTCACATGAAGGCCTCGGGGAAGATGCAATGCGATGCCCACCGCCCGCCAGGCCTCGCACCACGGCTGGGCAGGCTCACCTCTCCTCGCTCTCCAGCCGGTCCTCCAGCTCCGCGATCCTGGCCTCCAACTGCACCACCAGCCCCTCTTTGCTGGACCGGTAGGAACCTTCCAGGTGCATAATCCGGCTCTTTAAGTCCTTGTTCTGGAATCAGACAGGGAGACAGTGAGGGGCTGTGTGTCCACCTCACACTCTGCAGAGCAGATCACAGGTGGAGCCAGCGTTCGGTCAGTGACCGCGATGAGCCTGCTTCCCCCACCAGGACGGGTGACCCGGGGGACCTGGGGAACCAGGGATGTTTCCAGGGAATGGCTTGGCACCCCAGCCCTGTCAGGCCAAAAGGAGAGATTCTATCCCATTCGCATATAAGCCTGAGTGAAATCTTTGCCATGGCCTAGGACTCTTATCAGACAAATGACCTTGGCCTCTCATAAACCTATTGGCAGGAGAAATAGGCCCCTTCCCCAATATCACACATCATTTTCAGTGAAGAACTTACATGAACAGCATGTGAAAGAAATAATGAGTAAGTAAGCTTGGTTAGCAACTCGTGTTTGATAACACTAGTTCTTTATTTTTCCCTTTCCATTAGAATTTAGCCCATTTTAGCAACTAGAAAACACTTGCAATGCCACCTCCCCCAGCTGTAAACTTCCAAGCACATTTAATATTATGAGAAAATTCTCGCTGGAGATGGTTTTAGAAATACCTCTCTTGGGCAAGGTTGGCCCCGTCATCTCTGCATGCTGTGCAAAGGAGGGGTGGGGAGGGCTCAGGGGGCCAGCTGCCCTCACCTGTCTCTCCAGGGAAATCTTGTCACACTCCAAGTCTTGCCTCACAGCTCTCTCCTGAAGCAGCTCGTTCCTCATCTGCTCCATCTACACCAAACAGCAAAAGCCGGGGTTAGAGGGGTTGTGCCAGAGCCTTTGCACTGAAATGGCTCAGACACGGAATTCCAATCACCAGCCAGCTCCTCTCTGTGACATTGCGGGGACTCCCGCCTTTTCCCTTCCTGGGTGCAGGAGCTGTGTCTTCCATGTTCTTGTTTCTCGACAATTGCGAAGATAACAATACAAATAGCAATGATAGTCCATAGCTGACCCTGCTGCTGTGAGTCAAACTGTGTCCCCCAAAAGATACACTGAAGTCCTGACCGCCACCCTCGGTGCCGCAGATGTGACTTCCTTTCAAACAGGGTCTTTACAGAGGAAACCAAGTAAAAATGAAGTGGGCCCTAAGCCAATATGATGGGCCCTATGAAAGGGGAAATTGGGAGGCCGGGACAGGGGTGCAGGAAGAGCGCCATGTGAAGACGGCGGATTACAATGAGGCATCAACACGTCCGGGAACAGCAGAGACTGCCAGCAAACTCCCGGAAGCCAGGAAGCGGCCAGCAGGGGTCCAGAGGGAGCACGGCCCTGCGGACACTGTGATTTCAGACCTCGGCCTCCAGAACCGAGACAATAAACTTTTGTGGTTCTGGGCCCTTTATGACAGCAGCTCTAAAAACGGAGGCACCTGCCGAGCACTCCACACGCACTATCCTATTACATCCACGATCCAAGTTGTACCGTGACCAACCATCCCGGCTTGCCCAGGACCAAGAGGTGCTCAGGACACAGGACTTTCAAGGCTAAAGCTGGGACAGTCCCAGGCAAACTGGGACAAGTCAGTCACCAACTTGCCCGAAAACTACACAACTGGTAGTAGGCGGAGCTGGTGTTCCCGGAGCCCCGACTGCTGTTTTACAAGTTCCAACCACAGAAAGGCTTCCACAGTTAGCACACGCAAACGCTGTGAGATTTCCCCCTTCTTATGCCAGAAACAGAAGTCGGCAAGAACACAGGGCAGCTCCAGGTGAGCTGGCAAAGGCCACGTGTTACTTAGGATTTCTTCTATATTAACAGGAAAGGAGCCTCGCCGGGCAGCATCAAGAAATCCAGTCGTCTGCCCCGACATTCCGCACCTCTGTTTCTCATCTCCAGGCGGCTTTGGCGGCAATGCACAGAGTGTCATAGGCAGCGGCTCCAGACCTGCTCCCAGCACTGTCCATCAGAGGCGGGGCCCCAGACCTGCTCCCAGGGCTGTCCACCAGAGGCGGGGCCCCAGACCCGCTCCCAGGTCTGTCCACCAGAGGCGGGGCCCCAGACCTGCTCCCAGCACTGTCCATCAGAGGCGGGGCCCCAGACCTGCTCCCAGGGCTGTCCACCAGAGGCGGGGCCCCAGACCTGCTCCCAGGGCTGTCCACCAGAGGCGGGGCCCCAGACCTGCTCCCAGGGCTGTCCACCAGAGGCGGGGCCCCAGACCTGCTTCCAGGTCTGTCCATCAGAGGCGGGGCCCCAGACCTGCTCCCAGGGCTGTCCACCAGAGGCGGGGCCCCAGACCTGTTCCCAGGACTGTCCACCAGAGGCGGGGCCCCAGACCCGCTCCCAGGACTGTCCACCAGAGGCGGGGCCCCAGACCCGCTCCCAGGGCTGTCCACCAGAGGCGGGGCCCCAGACCTGCTCCCAGCACTGTCCAGAGGAACCAGGAAATAAGACTGTGCCTTCCTTCTTAAGGTTGGGGTCCAGCCTGGGTAGGAGGTGTACATGCAGGGGTCCCTGCGGCCTGGGGAGCATTTATAACAGCCTGGCCTCCAGTTGGATTTTCACCACCGGGACAGGCTCCCTGGTGAGTAAAAGATGAGCTCACCCTGTCCCCACCTGGAGACAAGACCTGAGGGTCCTAGAAATAGTTCGAGGAGACACCACCACACGGGGCCTAGCTTGCACCTGCTCCCATCTACCCTGTCCCGACCAGTGTGGTGTGGCTGGCCCAGAGCGGGCGACAGGGAGCAATAAGGAATGAGACAGGCAATGGGCAGGGCCTGGACATCAAGGCCTCTGAGAGCACAAGGGGGAAGCTGGGACTCTACCCACGAGTGACAGGGTACCCTTATGGTCCAAAAAGTAAAAATAATATAACGCTCACATTTTTGCATTTCTTCCCGGCAGACTTTTATGTCATAGGGGCCCAGAACATTCCAGCAGAGGACAGGGAGGCCCAGGGCAGTTACACACATGCTGGAGGAAACAGGACTAGGACCTGGGCCAGACCCACTGCTCACTGCCCACCAGGCCACCTGCTTTCTCCCAGTGGTTCTCAACCTTCCTAATGCCGCGACCCTTTAATGCAGTTCCTCATGTTGTGGTGACCCCCAATTTCATTGTTACAAATTGAACATAATTAAAGCATAGTGATTAATCACAAAAATAATATGTAATTATATATGTGTTTTCCGATGGTCTTAGGCGACCCCTGTGAAAGGGTCGCGACCCACAGGTTGAGAACCTCTGCGACCAACTCAGTGAAAGGGCTTCAAACAGACCTATGGTTCAACTACAGCTGCCACATACAACCCAAGACTCGGGGAGGCAGGCAGTCCCCTCCGGGCTGTGCACACCAGGGCACAATGCCAGCCATGCCAGGGGTCAGCGGGCAGAGCAGGTAAAACTCACCTGCGGCCCGTTCCCACTCCTCCTGGCCCAGAGCCCTCGGAGTCACATGGTGGGAAGGGGTGCCGGAGGATGCCTGTAACTTCTGTATGAGCACAAAGTCACGGTAACGAATGTGGGCTCACAGCCCCACTCCGAGCGTGGCTGAGCCAGCCGACGACACCACGCAGGGCGGGCGTCCGCATGGCTGGGCCACGGGACCATGACGTGCTCCTCGGGAGAGTATGTTCTGTTCACAGCCCTGGGCACAGGCCGGGCCTCACTGAGGACACGGTTAAACTTTCACTGCGATGGGAAGTAATTAACAGGCCAGACCAGCGGCCTAGCTTCCCTTCCCCTGTTGTGACCTTGGTCATCTCACCTCTGGGAGGCAGACTTCAAGTTCCTAAAACAACAAACGTAACGGGATGCCTATGAGGCCCTTGGAGCTGGCCTACAACCGTGAAAGCACATGTTAGCATCCTCCCCGTTTTGGGGTGCTGGGCAGCTCCCCTTCCGAGGAAGCCAGAGGCCCCCGCCTCCATCCGCAGGCTCTCCACACATTTGGGAGTGGCCCCCTGAACAGACCTGCTCTGTCCAGGTGAGAGGTGAGTGTGTTTGTGAGCACACACTGTGTGCTGGCACCGGGTGGCCTGGAAGGATGGGTGGGTTCGTCTGTTTGTTCAGACTGTACTGTCGGCCCTGGGACACTGTGACAAAGAGACCGACAGAGCACCCACCCGGATTACAGCCTCGTGGGGGACAAACGGGCTCATCCTGGTCAGTGTCACTGCAATGGGAAGGGCAGGGTGCTGGTGCACAGCAGTGGCCACAAGCCAGACATAGAGGCCAGGCAAATTCTCCAGAGAAAGGGACCCTACCTGAGACCTAACTGAGTGTCCGCGTCAGGCAGGGTGGGGAAGGGGGCAGGAGAGGAACTGCGGCTTTCCAAACGGGGACCCCGATGAGAAGGAGCAGGAGGTCAGAGAGAGGAGGGGCTGCTGGGAGAGTTGGAAGGACCAAGTTGTCATGCGGCATCAGGGCACAGGTTAAGAGATCAGGGGGAGGCAGACAGGGGCAGTCACTCGGGGCCCACACACAGGTGGCAGCAGCGAACACCTCTACTGCACCTACTAAAGTAAGTCTAGAGCAGTGTGACAGTTACTCATTTAACCCAGCTCCCAGGAAGGAGGTAAGTTACTGTCCCCTTCACCCCGAGGGTCCAGGAGCGGCTGCAGGTGCAGGTGTGGAGACTGGGTGGCGCCACATGAAGCCACAGGACAGATGAGCTCACCAAGGAGACGCATGAAGAAGGAGGGGGATCCAGAGCCCTGCCTGGGGAGCCCTCCCCACTCCACCCCATTAGGGGAGACAGAGAAAAGCAGGACACGGACCCGTCCCAAAAGCGGAGAGGGGTGAGGACTGAGGTAGGTCAGGCAGAAGGAGCGGGAAAGCATCTGGCTGGGCAAGAAGTTCGCTCTGGGAGGCTCGGCACAGAGGGAACCAGGCTGCAGAGGTGGGGAGGCCCCTCCCCTCTGGAACCCCCGAGGCGGGACAAGATGACAGCCTCAACCAGAGGGCACAGAGGGGGTGGCAGGGGAGATGCCCTGCACTCAGAGCTGGGGGGATGGAGGGGGCAGGCTCCTCTGGCTCAGAGGGAGGGAGAGAGGGAAGGAGGGAGGGGAAGAGGAGGGAAGAAGGGAGAGGGAGGTTATTTTCCCAAAAGTGAAGGGTAAGGAAGAACTGGAGGCCTGTAGAGAGAGAACGAAATTTAGAAATTTCATTGCTGTGGGATGTGAGGCCACAAAACGCCAAGAGACCATAAAAGACCGGCAGCGCAGAGGCAAGGGTCTCATTGCAGCTGTACAGCATCTGCTTTTGGGGGTCGGGTGACTGCCGCAGCTGTGCTCCAGCCCGAGGGCCAGGACAGAGGAGGGAAGGACGGAAAGGGAAGAGGCCCTGAGACAGGCGCTGAGCGACTGGGAGTGCCTGCTGGGAGCCCATTAATCCTCCCGCACTCTCTGAGGCGGATGCGGTCACCCCCACTTCCAGGTGGACGACTCAGAATCGGTGGAGTTCTAATCTGGGATTCTAGTCCAGGCTTTCTGGTTGAAAGTCCTACGTTCCTTTTCTCCCTCTCAGCAAACCTGTAGGCCCAGGGCTCTCAGGAAAAGCAGCCCCTACAAAGAGGGGGAGCTCTGCGAGGACTTTGGAGCCCAAGAGAAAGCCATGTCTATGAGGAGGGACTCAAGGATCGCCAAGCAGACACACAGCACTGGGCCTGGGCGGGGTTCAGGGAAAACCCTGCGAAGTCAAACCACTGACCAGGTCTTGCTCCCCCAGTGGCCTGAACTGAAAGCTCTGGACCCGCCAGGAAGCGGGCCTCCGGGGGAGAGGAGCCTGGG